AGCTCTTCAACAAATAAGATGACGTTCTTCTGGAGAAACATCGAGCATTTGCGGTGAAAAAATTAAAAGTGGTCGAAACTCATGGAACACTCTTTAATTTCGATAGAAATAGATTTCTAACAGGCAAAAATTAATTCCATTGTTCGCAACTTGGCTCCAAAACAAACGTTGCGTGGAATCGACAGTGCACACTCGATGGTCTCTCGAATCATCGATTTTCATCGCCGCATTAGCGGAACATGAATCATATTGGATTTGTTTTTTATTTCTTTTATCCGGAAAGTGATATTTCGAAATGATCAAATAAATTCTCGTTTTCATGGCGTGTAGTCGAAAAATGTTTCATTGAAATATATCAGTCTGTTTCAGTTTTATGCAGTAACACTTTCGTGCTGACCTTGCAGATCGTCCAGCGAATATACTTCAATTCGAATCGCTGGATCCAAACCAGAATTTCTTTATCGGTTTGTTTATCTCAAACTCCTCATTCTACAGATAAAAACTGAGTATAGTTGAATTGGAATATCGACTTTTTTTTTAATCTAAAAAACTGCATCAATCGTATGTTCGTTCTATAATTGTGAAAGTCAGATGTCGAGTTCTCTCGTGATGTGCAAAGATAAACTGTCTGTTTCTGTGTATTTGATAGATTTGATGATCTCAATCAAAGTTACCACTCGAGACATTCAAATTCTACAGATAATCTATGTATTTTATGGACACTAGTTGGTGCTCAAAAAGCAATGTAGATTAGTGCTGCTTTTTTTGGCATCCACTAATGAACATAAAAAGTATACAGAAGTCTAGAACTAAGGAGCTATTAGATGCATGATCTTATCCATTGGTGTCCTTTAATGTTATAATTGACTTCACTATTAAGTCGATAAAAAGAACGAGAAAGAGCAATGTCGCGTATAATTTAAAAAACATCAGATCAAACATATGCTCTTCAATCCCATTGAAATATCATGAATGCTCTTTGTTAATCCACTTAAAAGAGTATGTTTATGTGTTTATCGTCGGTCGATGAAATATAAAGTCAGGGAATTGATGTGAATACTTGTACTCGGTTAGAATATAAGAAATCTCTGAGATGGTACGGAAAATTTGTTGTCCTGAGAGTCTCTAAGCTTGATCTGTCCGCTATGACCGACAACCCTCTCATCTTTTGGAAAAAAATAACAGAAAATTTTTCCTTTCCTCTCCAACTATTTGGTGTTTCTTTCTGTTTTTTTCATTGTAATTCTCATTTTCTCTTGAACTATGAACAGGTATTCGTTGAGGTGGAAAGAAACAACTTTAAGGGTTTTCGAAAAATTTTATCCGAAAAACACACAATTCAAGGCATGTAGCAACTTGACATTTGTTTTTCACGAGATACAAGCCTACCTTTCACTGATTTTCGATGTTTGGCTAATTTATTAGGTATGATTCTTCTGTAGTTTTGTTTTTTGTTTAGACTAAAAGTAATGATACTAATCATTGAAATGAAACTGTGCTTACTATTAATTTTGAAACTGATATTATGTTCATCGACCGAAACAAAACCAAAACTAACATTGAACGAATATTTCGATTTTACAAATTATCCATCATTGAGTTTTTCTCCTAGTGGTCAACATTTGCTCATTCAATCCAAACGTCCATCATGGAATTCCAACTCTTATGAAAACAGTTTATGGTTATACAACATTGAAACGAAGAGAAAACAATTGATTACAAGAGCACTTTCGGAATCGTTGAAACCACAATGGTCACCAAGTGGAAATTGGATCGCCTTTTTACTAAATCAAAATTCAATTGCATCATCCGATGAATATCCAAAAGCAAATGAGTATATTTACTTATATTCAGTCATATCAAATGAATGGCTGCCGATTTATATTGGTAAAGAAATACCAGTAGCTTTAACATGGTCCAACGATGATTTCTCTCTTTACTTTGTTACATTCGCATCAATGCCACCAAAAGAAGATGATAATTTGCAGAAGGTCGAATGGAAAGACGTTATTCCATATCGATTGTCTAAATCTAATGAGGGTAGCTCAATTCATCGTATTGACATTGAAAAGGATACTCAGACATCATCCACGAAAAGGTATCTTATCAAGAATGTTCCATTTCTAATTACAGAATTATTGTTTGTTCCATTTGAAGAAAAACTTGTACTCATGTCTTCTTCCACACTTTCGGAAAAAATAGATATTACTGAGATGTATTCTCTTAATCTACAAAATTTATCGACATTATCCAGACTAACGAGCAATGATCTATTGAAACATGAATTACGATTATCAAATGACAATAGACATGTGCTGTTCTTAGCGTTCGGTAGAGAGTCAAGTCAAGGAAAATTAAATGGTATCCAACAGCGACTATATTCGTTGGATTTAACCAATGGGCATCTTGAACTTCTGGCAAAAGATTTTGGAGGTAGCATTGCAGAATATATGACAAAACCTGATGGTGGTGTTTACATACTAGGACAGCTTGGCACAGAAACTCAAATTTATACACAACAATCGCCGACACACAAATTGATTTATCATCAAGGATGGAATGGAACATACGAACGAATTTCATTATCATCAAAACAAAATGGTCCTATTGCATTTATTTATTCGTCATTTGAACGACCAAAAGAAGTTTATCTAATGGATAATATTGATCAACTTCAGTCAGCACAGGTATTAACAAGTGAAAATAAACTATTTACACAGCGAGAGTTACCAAAAACAAAAGTTTATCAATGGAAAAACACTGAAGATCAACGAACGATCGAAGGCATTTTACATTATCCACCCGGGGAATTTCAATCGAAAAATTTACCCTTATTTGTTCTTATTCATGGCGGTCCAGGCCCTGCAAGTACTAATTCATTTACTGCAGACTGGTACACTTGGGCACCATTGGCAGCCTCGGAAGGTTGGCTTGTTTTAGAACCCAACTATCGAGGTTCATTTGGATATGGTGATCAGTTTCATAATGAAGTTTTCCTTCAGCCTCTATCTCGACCGGGTAGAGATATTCTTTTAGGAGTTGATCAGCTAGTTAACGACGGTATTGCTGATCCAAATAGACTTGCCATTGGTGGTTACAGTTATGGTGGTTTTCTGACAAATTGGTTGATTACACAAACTACACGTTTCAATGCTGCTCTGTCCGGTGCTGGTGCAGTGGAGTACGTCTCCGCTTGGGGTACGGTGGATACATCGACGTTTATCCCTTATCTGTTCGGAGGATATCCATGGGAGGTACCACAGAATTATCTAAGTGAATCACCTATTTATCATTTATCTCGAGCACGGACCCCTACACATATTATAACGGGCGAAAAAGATGTACAAGTTGACAACAGTCAAAGTTTTATATTGGAACGTGGGCTTCATCATCTCGGAATACCCGTACAACTATTAGTTTTTCCAAATGAAGGACATGGATTTAACAAGAATCCTTGGTATGGCAAAATAAAAGTTCGCGAAGAACTGAAATGGTTACACAAATATAGTAATGGATCATTAACCATAATGAAAGACTGGAATTATTGAATTATAGTTTGTTGTTATTCACATTTTCGAGCATATGAATCAATAAAAAAAATAGTCCTATGTAATATCTCGCGAAGAACATAGTCCAAGGGTATTCAGATACGGACAGTTGCTTGCTAGAACACTTGCTAAATAGACTTCGGTACAACTTTTAACGCATTCTTGAAAAGATTCAATAGGGTTCTATGGAAGACAGCACTGGCTGGTTTAAAAAGGTTTCGGAAACCTTGGGAAACCTCGGGAAACCTTGCATTGAGACTGATCGAGTTGGCATATCACTGCATGACGGTGTCACGAAACACTGATACTAAGCTTAGGTATTTACCCAGCTCCATGTATCTATCAGAAAGAGGGGGTCGAATTTGCATAAACCAAACCGCGAGTGAAGCGCATCGCGGGCACAGATGATGCGGCGTCGTGGCGTTTCGCACAGGGCATATCGCTGCATGAGGATGCCATAAGACGCTGACACTAGGCGCCGATAGTAATTCAGTGTGCAACGCACTGCATGAGGGTGCCACGGAACACTGGTACGGATCGTTGATATTGACCCATATCCATGGGTCTATCTGAAAATGGGAATCAAATTTACAAAAAGCGAAACCTCGAGTGAATCCGCTATGAGCTGCGTCCGACAGGGCGCTGCTGATGCGGCGTTTCGCACAGGGCACATCGCTGCATGAGATAAAGCGAAAATTTGGCAATAGGAATTTCGCCAATGTCGAACGAATATCCAGAATTGTCAAAATTCTTGCGGAATTACTGCAGTAATAATTTTTACTGAGAATTTTACTGTCCATTTTCCAACGGAATCTGGACAATATGCGCAGTGGTGAGGATTGTAGTAAATCAGTTGTATCTCAATTGATATGATGTTACGCGTCTACGTTCTTTACATACGCGCATCTTCTTGTTTTTTTCTTTTTCTTCCTTGATTTACTTCTATTCTAATCCACAGCACATTATCGTTCGGTATCCTCGATTTTCTTTTTCGGTAAGCGAATAGATAACCATCATCCTTCTGTTTTCATTTTTAGTTTATTTTCTCTCCTTTGCTTTGGTCTAGTCAGAGTGTGTGTGCGTTTTATTCAGTGTCTTTGGTCGTAGATGCAGAGAGAGAAATAGAGAGAGAATTTCATCATTAATTTGTCTTGTGTGCATGGATGCATACTTCGCGTATTGTCCATGTCTTTACTTACGTACTTTTCAAAGAAACACTGTTTCTAGATTCTTCATTTTTGAATTCAATTCAACCATCGTCTAATTCATTGTTCAATTGTTGTAGCGGTTACTCGTAGTGCGAAAGCACGTCAACACCAGTCACCCATTGCAAGCATTCCAATAGTAGCTGGTGTTGTAATGATGATAATAGCATTAAAGATGCTTATCAATATATTGATTCACCATCAGTCAACTCAATTCGAATCGATAATGATCAAGAAGATAAATCAGATGAACTGTGATGACGAAGAATTAGATACAAGAGCAGCCTGGCCAATTATTGTCGATGAAATTCAATGGTGTAAAACAAATCGTGGTAATGATCATATATGTATGGGCGGATATACCTACGATTCTTTCTCTCAATCATTACAAAAAAATACTCGTAGCTTTTGTTGTTCAAAGGAAAATCTTCGTTGCCGTGCTGTTGTAAATCTATTTATGGATTCCAACATGTACAATGATTCAAATAATGTTGAACATAATCATCCACCAAATCACCATGATGTGAAACGTTTATTAGCATTACAGAAGATCAAAGAAAGAGTACTGGCAGAACCAATTTCTGTTGCTCGGATTATAGAAGATGAATATGTAAAGCATGATCTAAATGGTGATGATCGACGGCATTTTTTATTACCAGCATCACAGGGTAGATGATATAGATAAACTGAAGTTGCAGGTGAAATACCATACCTTAAGTTTCATACACACTTATGTTATTCTGAATACTTTAGCATCAAAATTTCATAAAATTCGTGCTAAAATGTTACCACCTAATCCAAAAGCATTGGATTTTGAAGTCTCAGCAATGTATTCAACAACTCACAGTGGTGAAGAATTTTTGATTTACGATTCAACACGTAAAAAACTAGGTGGTAGACTGACGAGTTTTTCTACCAAAGTCTTAATCGAAATGTTATGTGGTTGCGAAATTATATTGGTTGATGGAACCTTCAAAACACGTCCTATCTTGTTTTTTCAAGTATATGTCGTAATGGGTAAGCATCTCGATCAAGGTATATATATGCTTTGTCCTCAGTTCCGCTTCATTTGTACCGAAATCAGTCTTTCTTGTTCATGTCTAGCTATTCCATTAGTATGGTGTCTTGCGCCAAAACGAACTCAAGAAGTGTATGAGAAGATCTTCAAAGTTTTGAAAAAAAAGCAAATGAATATGAGACTAAATTCGAACCACAATGTGCTTATTTACAGAGTGATAAAAAAAAACTTACTTTCGAGTATTTATTGACTTTCCTGTGTATAAATATAATTGAACTTTTTACCATTAGTTTATTCGAATAGAGCAAAGATTTCTGGACGAAATGAGACGTCTCCGAGCTCTCGAAGAGCTTTTCTCATGAAACAGCATTCAATGTACGGAAGATCTCATACGACCAAAATCGGGATAATTAATGGGCAAACAAGAAAAATATGCTTGAGACCTTCCGTAAATTCAATGCTGTTTCATGAAAAAAGGTTCTTAGAGAGCTCGGAGGCGTCTCATCTTGTCCAGAAATCTTTGCTCTATTCGAATAAACTAATGGTAAAAAGTTCAATTATATTTGTACGTAAGAAAGTCAATAAATACACAGGGGATAAGTTTTTCTTAGAACACCCTGTAGATTTTGAAAGTGGGACGATAAACGCATTGAAAAAATTAGTAAGTGTCGTATTTAAATAAAGTCACTGATACGTTTTTCTTCTTTCTTTCTTTCCAGTTTCCTCATATTTCTATCCACGGATGTTGGTATCATTTTACCCAGGCGATATTTCGTAATATACAAAAAATCGGTTTGTCACAAATGTATGAAAAAAAATGAAAACGTTAAAACTTGGTTAAAGAGTTTTATGGCATTGTCATTGATAGAGAACAATGCAGTTCACTTTGCTGTGGAATTATTAATCTATAATATGCCATCATCTGATAAATTACTAATTTTTTTCGTGAATATTTCGTAAATCACTGGGTGACACGTATACCAGCAATGTATTGGAACTTAGGACCCATTCATCTTCGGTGTAATAACGATGTAGAAGGTACAGTATATTTTGATGACGCAGTAATAAGTGAAAAGAAAAACTTTACTCGTAAAAGCCTACTATAACTGTTGTATTATCATTTTAGGTTATAACAACCGACTTCAACATAGATTTGGTGTTCATCCACAGCTACGGTCCTTCATCCATTTTCTAAAGAATGAAGAATTCATCGTAATGATGAGAGCCACACAAATACGAAGCGGCAATTATCGTCAGGCAGCTCTTCCATTCTCATTTGGCAATGAGCGTACACGGAAAAAAACAAAATAGCTCAAGAATTTATCACGCTTGTATGAAACGGTAGAATTGTTTTGAAACAGTATTTAACTACTTTATCATATTTCATTGGCGAATCGGCAGCAATTAAAAACAGGAAAAAAGACGCTACTCATGGATCTACAACTGCCACCAATACTGATTTTGGTGATTGAGACGGTGTGTAGTCAGAATTCTTTTGGATCGTAGACTTCCACTTACGAGGGAAGGACACCAACTGATAAATCGCTTTTGAGCCGTAAGGTAGTGGACAATAGGTAATCAAGTGCACTGAATCCGAATATGGCAATCGTTTAGGCCCATAGCCCTTCGGAGACCGGATTTCTAGAAAACCAGTTTTTCAGAAACTCTAAAAAATAACAGAAGCCTTTGTTAATGAGACCTGATTGTAGCCCGCAAATTTCTGATTAAAATGAGACCTCTCCCAGCTCTGTATGACCTTTCTTTGCAAAGTTATAGAATTTACAAGAAAAGCCCTAAATTTATTTCTTCTTATTTGTGTAGCTTTGAGCTGACAATGAGCAATTTAAGTCTTTTCTTGTAAATTCTATAACTCTGCAAAGAAAGGTCATACAGAGCTGGGCGAGGTCTCATTTTAATCAGAAATTTGCGGGCTACAATCGGGTCTCATTAACAAAGGCTTCTGTTATTTTTTAGAGTTTCTGAAAAACTGGTTTTCTAGAAATCCGGTCTCCGGAGGGCTATGGGCCTAAACGATTGCCATATTCGGATTCAGTGCACTTGATTACCTATTGTCCACTACCTTACGGCTCAAAAGCGATTTATCAGTTGGTGTCCTTTCCTCGTTAGTTTTTGGATTTGCTCGTACACGATGTTTCTGTTCGGCTAATGTATCTCAAGTGGGAAAAAATTCTCAAACACTTGTCTTCTTTTACATTTTTGTTTTTTTATTCATTTTCTGGTGTCAGGTCTAGCTACACACAGCTTTTCTGTATCTATTATCTTTTCTTTCTTTCTTTGCCTGATGTTGTTGATGGAAAAATAAATCAATATAGTTAATTGTGTGACACTCAGTCCCAGATCAGTAATTCTTTTCTTCATATTGATTCAAAACACAGAAATTTGTATTTCTGTACAATTCCCTGTGCAAATCAAATAAAATAGCGAGAAAAGTGACGCCCCCCCCCCCTCCCACTCTGCCCCACAGATCGTGACAGACATCTCGACATGCTGCTCTTCTGACTCGGTGACAGACTGCTAAACATGACCAGAGTTCACACTTACGCCTAAGTGGCCACTCCACCGTGTTTCACATTTCAATAGGGATGCACGAAGCTCAATCTCAAGCTTCAGGCTTGAGCTTGACTTGAGAAGCTTGAGAATTTTTTGATCGATCTACCACTACAATCAACTAGGACATGCCGCAAAAACATTTCGATCATATGGTGTGCCAAATCTTGCCGAGTGATGGAGTCTAATGGAAACTGTCGGGTCAAATTCAACGATTTTTGAACCTACAGATTCTCCTACTTACGCTTATAACAGAGATGTTACAGATAGAACGAGTGAATAAATGATCATTTTATCACATAGACACTTTTGCGTTCTGTTTCCTTTTCGGACAGTATTATAGCGGAACCTTCTTTTTTTCCGTGTGGATGATCATCTCCACTTCTACGCCAAAAGGAAGATTACTCTTTGTACATTTTCTGCTTACGAGGGAACCGCCCCAGGTGTCCGGCTCCGATTTCGTTCGTTCATACATCATTCGATAGAGGACCTCGAGTAGGCAAAAAGGCTAAAAGGATTTGGGCGGAGGGCCCTTTAAGACCCGGTTT